GTATTTTTCTACTATCCTGTTTTAACATCCCATAAACGTATAGACTTATCATTACTACCAGATGCTATAGAATAACCATCAGAAGTAAAACAGATAGAATTTACACAACTAGAATGACCATCTAATTTATTTTATTATTATCCTGTCTTAACATCCCATAAAAGTATAGAGTTATCATCACTACCAGATGCTAAAGTATTTCCATCAGGAGAGAAACAGACTGATCTTATATAATCACTATGACCATCTAATTAAGTTTTTTATTATCCTGTCTTAACATCCCATAAACGTATAGAGTTATCATCACTACCAGATGCTAAAGTATTTCCATCAGGAGAGAAACAGACTGATCTTATATAATCACTATGACCATCTAATTAAGTTTTTTATTATCCTGTCTCAACATCCCATAAACGTATAGATTTATCAACACTACTAGATGCTAATATATTTCCATCAGGGGAAAAACAAACTTACATTACTTCCTTTGTATGACCATCTAATTTTTTTTTTTATTATCCTGTCTTAACATCCCATAAACGTATAGAGTTATCATCACTACCAGATGCTAAAGTATTTCCATCAGGAGAGAAACAGACTGATCTTACATAACCACTATGACCATCTAATTAAGTTGTTTATTATCCTGTCTTAACATCCCATAAATGTATAGACTTATCATAACTACCAGATGCTAAAATATTTCCATCAGGAGAAAAACAGACTGAATTTACACAACTAGAATGACCTTCTAATTTATTCAATTCATTAATTTTGATGTTCTTCCACTTACAATCGAATAATTAAGCTCTATTCATATTTACACCACTAAGGTCTACACCATCAAATTCTGAGTTATTAAAGTTGCATCTTACAAAAGTTGCGCCAATTAGAGAAGTGTCTCTAATCCTTATGTCTTCCCAGCTTTAATTACTAAGATCTGTCTTCATTTCTACTAATAAGTTAAGAGAATTTGATCCACAAACTATAAATTCCTTATCAACAGCAGTTATATGAACTAAAAATTTTAAAATAGATTTGATCTTTTGATTATCTTTTATTTTACTCATTACATCTTTTTTTAATTCTAAATATGGTTCGGATGATAAATTCTTTAAGTTAATGTCGTTGCCTTTAATTTTTTTAAGTGTATTATGAATAATCTCAAAGTCCTTTCCTAAATCATATTACTTGTATCCTTCACCTGCATTTGATGAATTCTTAAGTTTTATGATGCTTGATTGAAGATGTATTCGATTCTTTTCAATAGAAAGATATTCAACAGTATCTAATATGTTTTCTTTTCTAAAAATTTCTATCATGTAGGTGAGCAATTCTTCATCCACATCCAAAGTGTTGGCAAAAATCTCTGATATGGTTTCTAGCTTGTTATCAATTGAATTCATAATCATTATTAAAAAAATTATTGAATTTCTATTCCTTGGTTTTCAGTTTAATATGACAAATGGGAAAAGTATCTTTTGTTTAGATAGTAGTATATGGGTAAAACTTTATGAAGATTTTTATTTGATTGTATTTGATGTTGAATCTTCATATGTTAAATC